GGCCCTGACAATCTTCACCCCAGGGTACTCAAGGAGCTGGCGAGCATCATAGCCCAGCTATGTTGGCTAGCACTATGGAAGAAAGAGACTTGGGGGTCATCATTGACCACGAGATGAACATGAGCCTGCAATGCGATGCGGCGGCTAGTAAAGCGACCAAAACGCTGGCTTGCCTCCATAGATGCTTCTCAAGCAAATCCCGGGACGTCATTCTCCCCCTGTACTCGGCCTTAGTGAGGCCGCAGCTGGAGTACTGTGTCCAGTTTTGGGCTCCGCAATTCAAAAAGGATGTGGAGAAGCTTGAGAGAGTCCAGAGAAGAGCCACGCGCATGATCAGAGGTCAGGGAAGCAGACCCTACGATGACAGGCTGAGAGCCCTGGGGCTCTTTAGCCTGAAAAAGCGCAGGCTTAGGGGTGATCTGATGGCCACCTACAAGTTTATCAGGGGTGACCACCAGCATCTGGGGGAACGTTTGTTCACCAGAGCGCCCCAAGGGATGACGAGGTCGAATGGTCACAAACTACTTCAAGATCGTTTCAGGCTGGACATAAGGAAGAATTTCTTTACTGTCCGAGCCCCCAAGGTCTGGAACAGCCTGCCACTGGAGGTGGTTCAAGCGCCTACATTGAACACCTTCAAGATGAAACTGGATGCTTATCTTGCTGGGATCCTATGACCCCAGCTGACTTCCTGCCCTTTGGGCGGGGGGCTGGACTCGATGATCTTCCGAGGTCCCTTCCAGCCCTGATGTCTATGAAATATTTATGAAATAGGCAAGGAGCAGCTGGCGGCTGCTTCTCCCCTCTTGGTTTACAGGATTGGAGAGAGCAGCTGCCTCCCATTTTCTTCTCCAGACCAGTGACCCGTCCTCCTAGCTCCACTCCGTTCTGCTTCCCAGGAAGTTAAGCCAGGGAGAATTGGGCAGACCTTCAGTCTCTAGGGAAAACTCTTCCAGGAGTGATTTAACCATAGTTCCCAGATTATTTTCTCCCAGAGTGGCCATTTTTGCTCTGAAAAAACCCAACAACTTGAATACCTGCACGTTTGGTTTCTACTGGGAGAACAGTTATTTTCCCAGTAGAAACTGAATGTCTGTATGTGGCCAAAATCAAAGCATACATGTCCCAACAGTGAAAGCCAAGAGATAATAGATACAGGCAAGAGAGAGGAATACAAGGAAACAATGATACAACACTAGTCAGTGTTGGTAGCTTAGTGTCCTGGCAAGTCAGTAGCGTATATTTTTTGTAGGTGTTGAAGCAAAGAAGAATTTTAAGGAGGATAAGGTTTACAGGATGTTTACTGTAGGGGCTTCCTATGCAAAACCATGAAGTTCCTTGTTTGAATATTTAACGAAGTGTTTCTAGAGACTGTCGTTATTGGCTGATAGGGGGCAGGAATTGACATTTTAGTAAATGAGGGATATATTGTGAAAACTCTGGAAGGTGAAGACAGATGGCTTAAAGCGGCTGATGTTTGATGTGGTGGTGGAGGAGGAGCAAATATAGAGGGATTAAGAGCAGTGGTCCAGTAAAATGAGCTTTTTGGCAGAATTCTGAATGGGTGAGACCAAGGCAAAACTGCATGTGTCAAGGCCAAAGAAAAGGGCATTGCAGTGACTGAGAAGTGAGATCTATCCATATGAATGCCTAGGAAAGATGTTACATTGGAAGAATTTAAAGGATTTAGATGCATCCAGCATCTGAGGACCTACACTGAATATGGGCCTGAGTTGTAGGCATAGGGTGGTGTTGCAGTTCAGTGAACGGGAAAAGAGGTGGAGGAGAAGGAGGGCTTAGGGTGAATGGTTAACAGCTTTGTTTCAATATGTTGATTCTCAGAGATGTGCCAGGATTTTAATTTGGGTAAATGAAACCAGAAATAGAGATCTGCAACTTCAGTGTCAGCCTTAAAATGACAGTTTAATTCATGTTTGCAGATTAAATAAATCCAAGAGAAAATGTAGAATAGCTAGAAATAGATCAAGGTTAGGACTGCAATGCCACTACAGAAAATGGTGGAAGAATGAGGAGAAAGGGGGAAAGAGAGGAAAAAGAAGACTTTTGGTTAATTTTGGAAATGTCCAGGTATATGTTAGCACTATATGGATGTGGTATGCACACAGGAAATAACTGCTCATTTGTTGTTCATCAGGGCAGCGGTTCCCAATCTGTAGTACGGATACAACCTGTCAGTGGTACGCGTTAACAGATTTATTACAATTATTTTATATGACAAAAATTTGCCAGCGGTACTTGACGTTGAACTGAAAAATTTGCTGGTGGTACTTAAGACTGGATCATTTTAAATTGGTGCTGTGAAATCTGTCAGAGTTTGGGAACTGCTGCATTAGGGTATCTAGTGGTATTTAATTACTATATTGAATAGCAAGCATGTATTTATACAAGATGGTATATGTGATTTTTTGGTTTTAATTTTGAGGAAAAGCTGATGTAAAAATTTCCAAGGTCCTTATTAGTCAAATAAACTAGTGTTACATTGCAGAAACTAAGAGATTGGCCATTATTTTGCAGTGCCTCTGGACTAGGGTTACTTCCTGACCAACAGAGACAACTTCTGCTCCATCAGCAGCACCAGCAATTTCAGCAGTTACTGAATACTCAACAGCTCACATCAGTATGTTTTATAATTAGTTATTTTTGTATGTTATTGTTTCTATAGTATAGTCTTCCTCCTTGAGTTGATGCAAATGTGAGAAGTGGGTGTAGCAACCTGGTTATATTATGCTTTGAAAAATTTAGTTTAAAAAAATCTTTCATTACTAAGTTGTCAGCACCTTTTTATGCTATGGACAGTCTGCTCATTGTAAATAATGCTTTGTTCCAACAAGTTATATATGCAATTTTGCAGCTGTTTGGAAATGCTGTGCTGTTTGCATTGGCAGTAGCATGATTTTAATACTTGGCCAAATATGTTTAAGATACTTTTTTCAATAAAAAATATTAGTGTGTGGATCATCTCTCAAAGTGGTTTGTCCTGGCTAGCAGATTTAGCAAAACTTTGTTTGCTGACTTCAGGAAAATTGTAATAGATTCTCTGTTCCATCTCAGCAATTCTGTAGAGTCTCACCAGTGCAACCCAGGTTATGTAGACTTTATAAAATTGTGGTTGCACTGTATAAAAACGGGGGTTGGCCAGGACCTGGAAAAGAGTGATCATTTATTGAATTTACTGTTGATTAGCTTTTTCTCCCCCCCACCTCCCCTTGTCTTACCCAAGGAACAGCATCAGGCCCTTCTCTATCAACTAGTGCAGCAACAGCATCACCAACACCAACACCATCAGTCGGAAGTACAATTGCAGATACCAGGAGCAACCCAGATACCCATAAATAACTTGCTTTCAGGCACTCAGGCATCACCTCTTCATACAGCTACTACCAACCCATTTCTTACAATTCATGGAGATAATACAGCTCAAAAAGTGACTGTAAGTGTGTTTATACCTGTAATGGCATTTTCAGTGAGATAATTAAGGGGACATTGTTTCAGATTCAGAGGCAAGTCCTAAGAGAATCCAGGGGGAGTTTGAACTTAATGCAACTTTCACCTTATTCTGGCCCTAAAGGATTTAAGTTATTTGGGCTGCTTTATGTTGTCACCTGCTTGCCATGGGAACTGCTGGCCTGGGTAAAACCAGTAGTCCACCTAGCCCAGTTATCCTTCCTCTGACAGTGGCCAGTACCAGAGAGGCACGTGAGATAATTCGAGAAACTCTGTAGTGGGCTTTTGAGCCATCTAGGCATTAATGTAAGGCCCCATAAAGCCGTGCAAAGAACCGAGACAGGTTCACTAATCAAACTAAGGTATAGTTTAACCAAAGGACCAGTTACATGGACAAACACAGATTTGTTACTTTTTTCCATTTTGAAGGGGACATACTCAACTCAAGAACCCAGGTTTGCCTGTGTTTCATTTGGATTTGACAAATAGACCTGAAATGAATAAACTGCAGTGTGAAGGGAAGGGGATCAAAGAAACTTGAGTTGACATGTTGCATTTGCCAGAGCTTTGCCATGAAGGAAAGCACCATGGCATTATCATTGCATCTTTTTCTTCAGTAATGTTGTGATCTATGTGTTTTATTTTGCTTTGGAAGTTTGCACCCTCTTCAAGGCCCTAAGTGGGAAAGGGGAGCTGCAGCCATTTCAAAGTGGTGTTTGCTGCTCTGACTTTCATTTAGGAATTCAAAGTATTTCATTCTATATATTTAAGATATGTACAATTTCCCAATCTTAAAAAAAACCAGAGCTGTCTTAGGAAATAAAATTAGTGTTTCTGGTATGACACATCTACTGATTTTGCATTTTCTTAGAGCTCTAATACTGGTGTTGGTTCTTGTACTCGACAACATTTTTCTCATTTTTCACACACACACCCACACAAAAAATGTTGAGTCAGCAACACCAACATTGTTTACAAATATGTTAATTTTGCTTCTTTTTTTTTTTAATTATGGAAAAATTTAAGTAGCCAGCTTTGACTTTCTCCAAATGAAACATTTTCACTCAGATTATTTGGTTAGAAATATCTTTATTTCCCTTGAAACATTTCTCTTAAAAATAATATCAAGAACATTTTTTAGCTTTATTTTTTAACTATACATACTTTTTGTGGTGCAAGGTTTCTGAGTTCATGGATGGAATTGTTCTGACATAGTGAAAAGACCTTTCTTACCCTCTCTCCATGAGAACAAGAGCATCAGGGTACTCAAGGACCTTTCCGGACTCCTCTCTGGGACCAGGGAGATCAGCAGCCTTAGCGAGAAGCAGAATCGGAGCCTGGGAACTATTTCCAAGTGGTAGTTTTGGAAAGTCACACAAGTGTCCTTCAAATACAACTCCTTTTGAATTGGTTCTTCTCCTTTCCCAAGTTTTGTTTCTAGGTGTGTGTGACTATTCTTTTCTAGAAACCAAATGTTTTGCTGGAGTCATGGGTGAAAAAAAAGAAATATTCTAAGTAGTTCTTTAACACAACTACATAATCTCACTTTCTGTATGTCCATAGTTTATTGCAGCTGTCTTTTCACTTATGTGTAGATGACAGAGTTTAGCAAAACAGAAATAATGTTCAGTTTTAAAGGTACTCATTTTTTTTCTTACCACAGAGGATTAATGATAAAACTGGACCAGTTGCACCAGAGAAGAGTTGACATTTGAGAAATATTTGAGAACTGCGTACCATGCTGTTAAAGCACTTCATCTGGCTGCTAACCGCAGTCTTACTTTCTGCAGATGCAAAGATGCAAGCTAACTGCACAGCAAAAGATTAATCTTCACAAGGACATTGTTGTAAGGCTTTGATTTACTTTCTTGTTGCACTGAAAGGAAACATCTTTTCCAGATTTCACAGACTAAAACATTATTGCAAACCATAATTAATTTGTCAATTTGACAATATTAAATGCAACAGATTCAGCCATGGAAAAATTATCTGTGGTGCTCATCTTATATTTTTGTTATACATTGGAGAGCTAGTAAATTGAAAACACCTATTCCAGTCACATTTTACTTGGGTTTGGAGTCGTCTTAAGCAAAACCAAAAAACCCTTAACCCAACCCACCTAATCTTTTACTGCAGCTGCAATATGCTTTCAGACCCAGGTTGTAATGGTTGTCTGGACTGCCTATTAGTTGTTTTTCTTTTCCAAATATGTTTTAAAATTTGACTTGTGATGCAAAGGATATAGTTCTGAACTTTTTACTCCATCAAATTCTATTGACCCATAATGGGAATTTTGCCAGAATAAGTTTCAAGATGGAGTCCAAAGGTTGTTAACTTTGGTTTGGGTTTTTGGAGTTCTGCGGTTGCTGGAGAAACTAAATCGATTAAAACAAACAAAAAACCCTTGCCAGATCAAAAGGCCAATCTGGAAAATGTCAGATGTATATGGCCTAAACTAAGTGCCTGTTGCTACCTCCATTTTGTTTAAATGGCTGCAGACAGCTGATCATGCACTAGACAAGTCCTTATAAGCAGCAGGGAT